GGGCAGGTTCCGTCCTGAGGGAGGCTCCTCCAGGAACGCCGGGTTTTATGGGTTTTGTGGGTTATCCGGCGGGGAAGCAAGATAAAGGGGGAGGAGGGAGAGGCATTTCCAAAGCGCTCGGCTTTCTCAACTCGCCCTCCCACTGCGGGCAGGGGAGGTGTCCGGGCTACTTTTCAAACGCAATAAAAAACTCCGAATTTTGTTCCCGCTGCTTAGTTTTACTTCCTGCTGTAGCACTTACCTGCTTAACACCTCCAGCAAAAGTAAACAAATCAGCTCGTAATTAACCTACGATCTCTGCTCTAACTTGCCTTTTTTATAGCTAGTCTTTTCCTGTGGAGTCTTATGTATATATGTCGGATACACGGAGATTTGGAAACCTGCTGCTGACTTTGTTCCCTACTCCGCCCGCATCCTTAAAATTAAAGAAATCCAAACAGAGAAACACACACACACGCACCAACCCACCCACAGCAATTTGATAAAAATAGCGTCATCCCTGGAAAGTGAAGGCAAAAAGTGCCACCGGTACCTTTCAGCTACACCAGGTGTGTCAGCTTCTGTGAATGCTCAGGGTTTAAGTGCACAGGAAACATCTCGTCATTATGAGATTACTGGAGCAGCCCAGTAGGTATTCATTGTCAACGAGCTGTCACTGGAGAAAATCTGAGCCAGGAAAGACATAAAAACAGGGGAGACAAATCTATGACCAGCTGCTTCCAGGTACATTCCTGAGTGCAGCTGCAGGAAGGCAAGCTTGTCTTTCCTGCAAGGCAGCCGGGAGAACAGCCCTGTAAACGGTCCCTCCGGCCAGCCTGTGGATTTAGTCCCTCTGGCTGCCCACCCTGAGACATGGGGGACAGCGTGAAGCAATCTTACTCCGTGTCTCTGTTCGGAACTTGCTTCCAAAAATCCAAATAGACACAGAAGCAGCCTGTAGCTGTGATATGTAGATGTACCTTCAAAGCCTTTTCTGATTCACTCTCAAACGTTTCTAGTAATTACTTCTATTTTAAAGGCGTTAGTTAATTGCATTGTATGTCGAATCTGTGCCGTAATTGCCTTTCAGAAAAAGGGAGAGCACAGCCAGTAGAGATCACTTATTAAAATTAAGCGCACTGTGGGCATTTATTTCAAAGTGTAATTACTGAAATAAACAGTTGTGTTTATTGCCAGGCACAGAGCTGCACATACAGGCAGGTACAAACATGCCTGTCTGAGAAAGCTCTGCGTGTTGATTCTCTGTCAGTTGCCTGAGAGAATTTGCAGGATCCTCTATATCACACAGAATATAAAAACTGCTACAGATACAAAGATAGTTACCCTGAGGGCAAAGCGACCACTCTAAAATCCTTACTGCTAATCATTCAAACTTTGTAAGCAGAACACCATGCCCAGGTAACTTTGGCTGTTATCAGTTCTGTGGTATCTGTGTTCAGAGCAGCAGCACCCATGGGAAACTCAATCCACTCTAACCATAGAATGAGAAGAAACACACTATTTGAAATTCATTTTAAAGCATGAAGAGTTTCCAGAGTACTGTTTTCCCCCCCTTGCTAATAATCCAATGTAATTGTTGTAAACATCAGAGAGCAGATTCTCTAGACTGAGAACAAGCAGGAAACATTTCTTCCCTTGGGGCATTTTTTCTCTTCTAAAAGGTATGTCCCTGAGAAGAAGGATAGAGAACAAAATTGCCTCTTCTACCACAACTGCTGAAGTGCATATCTTTATTATTTCTTTATGCTGTGGTAATACCCAGAGATAACATCAGCGCTTGAGGCCCTTGTGTTGGGGGACACAACAGTAAAGTGATGTCCTGTAAAGATTACAGCCTACTGGAACTTTTACAGGACATAGCTTGTTAATGTGAAAATGCCTGGTTAAGGAAAGTTCTCCATTCTGAATCTCGGTGTCTATCTTTCTGTGCATTCTGCAGACCGCGTTCAAGTCGGCTGTCGGGAACTGCGATCCACCAAGTACATTTCAGACGGCCAGTGCACCAGCATCAACCCACTGAAGGAGCTGGTCTGTGCTGGTGAGTGCCTCCCGTTGCCACTGCTCCCCAACTGGATTGGTGGAGGTTATGGAACCAAGTACTGGAGCAGGCGGAGCTCGCAGGAGTGGAGATGTGTCAATGACAAAACTCGCACCCAGAGGATCCAGCTTCAGTGCCAGGATGGAAGTATAAGAACCTACAAAATAACTGTGGTCACAGCCTGCAAGTGCAAGCGATACACCAGGCAGCACAATGAGTCCAGCCACAACTTTGAGGGAACCTCTCAAGCAAAACCTATCCAGCACCACAAAGAGAGGAAAAGAGCCAGTAAATCCAGCAAACATACTACAAGTTAGAAGCCAGACATTCTCTCCTCTCTCATCTCCTTCTCCCTGTGCCAAAACTGAACTTGCCTGTAACCATTTGCTTTACCAATCTGACTGCTTAAAGACAAGTCTGCCATTGCTGCGTTCTCAGTTGACACTACACGCTTACTGCTTTGACCAAAATCAGAAGGGGCATTCTCAGCATATGGACCTTTTGGGTGATTTTCCAAATGCTCAAGATGGGGAGTAGCACAAGCCTTCCAAATCCACATAATAAACTTTTACATTTTCTCCAGCCATGGAGGCAAAGAAATTTTGCCATGAATATTCACTGACGTCTATTTTGTAAAAAGATGGTTTGTTGTGTGTTTTCATGAGAAGTTATCACATCTATTGCCTTCTAGACCATGTTTTATGAACTTCTGACAACAGCTTAAAAATACAGCACCTAGTATCTGCTTTCAGATTCATTCTAAAAGAAATGCCTTGCATGTTGACCTTTCTCTTATCTCAGTATATCTAAAAGTAAAATATGCATGGCAGCAATCAAAAAGTAAAGCTGAGCATACTATTTATTTGTTGTTGTAATTATTTAATGAGCTTTTATGTATGTTATGTCCTTCCAAAATGTTCTTCTGTTTATAGCTTTTCTCATGTATCAAAGTATTTTCCTGTGATTTGTGGCTGGATTAGAACATACATTTTGTAGATAATGTAAAATAGATATTTTAGCATTCTTGTTATATATATTTTAATTTTGAACATTTATAGACTTAGGTGTTATTTTGAAGTAGCAACAATTTTTTTTTTTCATTTTCTGCTCTGTATTGTTTTTGTTTAAAAGTGTGCAATCAAAAGACAGATATGATGACTTCCTTTCAAATATATTGTTGGTGTTTTTTTGTTTTTTTTTTTTGTTTTTTTTTTTTACAAAAATAAACAATGCTAAAAACTGTGGTGTCTGGCTCTATGTATGAAAATGCACACATTTTAATCAGTCACAACTTTTAATCTTAAAAACTGGTACAGTATTATTTGGCTAAAAAACATCTATCCATGATATTTAAAACAAACATTAACCCAAACTTTCTGTGGGGTCTTTTTGGATATAAAAACCTTATATGGCTGTTTAACAGACGTTGCTGATTAATGGTCCAAGCCAGATTCTCATTTAACAATTTTCAAGTCATACATTGCAGAAGATGTGTATATTTAGGAAGTTTTACAAGTGAGTGAGACACCACCATTTTTTTTCCTTTTCATTAGTGATGAACAAGTCAAAGACTAATGCTAAAAATAACACAGTTTCATCTTTTCCATAGAGCTAATAGAGCTCTGCACATGGTTCACAAATTCTTATAGAATGTATCAGGAAATATATAGTAAGCAATCTACCTTTTCACACATAGTCCATGAAAATACCTGTTCTTAATTTTTCAAACTATATTGAAATCCTATGGTCAAGGTTCCATCACGGGACTCTGCTGTTCTTAAATCATTAACCTTTACAACCCGTTTTCACCCAAAGAAAAGATTACACAAGAAGACAGTGATGAAAAGTCTTGCCTGATAAGGTCTCACACAAGTTCTCTTTGACCTTTTATTTATCTCATTCCAAAAGATTTATTATGAAGTGCTTGGCAGAGGTATTGCTTGGTTGTTAATGTAGAACTGTTTGAAAATCACTGCTACTGCTGGACTTACTGAATTCTAAATTTTATTGACAAAATTTAATGTTTTTTCCTCAAAAGTGCTTTCAAGAATTCTCTTTAAAATCCATTATATGTAGGAAAGATGTATACCTTTAAAAAATCTTTTAAATGGTACAGTTAAAAAATGTTACATTTATGTCCTAGTTGTTTCAAGTTTAGTTCTGTAATCGTGACAATATCAGAACAATGAAATCACAGACCATTGATACTTAAATTCTCTGATATTAAAGATGCTTCCCTTAAGTTTAAGAGATTAAATGATGAACAAAGGAGTTAGCAGGGAGAGAGGTGATATGACATAGTTCCTAGGCCTGTAAGCCCAGTGGACCTACAGACATCCTAGTTTTTTATTTTAGTAGACGTCATAGTCTCATTTAATCCATTTTATGAGTGAAAGGTTATTCCCAAATACCAAAAATCTATCTAATTTTAAATTGTTCTCCAGGTACATCTTTTAAGGTGATAAAGCACAAAAGAATGATATAATAGACCAAAATTTCACCAAAATTATTTTCAAAGCCTCTAACCACAACACATCAGTAAAGTTGCCCTGCCTGTTCTGTTTGACTCTCAGAAATAACAACAGTGAAAAAAACCCCACACATTTTGCTCACAACCCTTCTACAGTTAGTGAAGTTTGACTGTAGGAACATTAAGCACATATAAGAGTTAGCATTTAGCAATAGAAATAGTAACTCCTGGTTTGTCTTCTCATGCAGGTCTACCAGGAAGAGAATGATTTGACACACTTCCATGAGGATGACTCCATGAAATTTTGCTGGGTGTGCTATAGAAAGACAATGAGGCCCATCTCCAAGTCGGGCACATTTGAGGGAATATGGGGGAAGCCAGTAGGAGCTTTGTCTATCAGCAGCAACTTAACTTTGAAGGGCCAATTGAGTTAGTTATGGTTTCTTCTTTGGCCATGATTTTGGTCATTTGTGGGAGAGATCTGCAGGAAAGCAGTGTTAGAAATATGTTAATTTTGAATTTTGTTAAGAAATAATGTTACTCTTTGTAACTCATCTCCTAGCTTTCAATCTGTCCTATACAGTCTGCCTTCTGTTTCATCCTGTTATATGTGAACTCACAGGGGTCTATCCAAGGAGCCAGACAAAATGGTGTTACACAAGGACATCCAACTAGGTCCTTCTATATGGAGAATCTTCAACATGTAAAGTTGCAGTGGTTAGCATATGAGCCATTACTCTTATATCTACAGTGGAAAATCTTGCCAAACAGTCAATGAAAAAAAACAGCACTGCTCCAGCTGAAATAATTTTAAAAACAAAACATCTCCTTATGGTCATTTCAGAGTTAAAAAGGAAATACAAACATGCTAGAATTTTGTTTTCACCTGAAATATTAAGCCAAATAGATACAAGAAGCATGTAAATGTTTCTTAAAAGTACAATGTAGAGGCAGATCAGATAAGTTTTTACACAAGTTAGACCATTAAATATTCTAAATTAGTCTAAATTCATTACATTAAGAATATATAGAAGTAGGCTTTCTTAATAATATCCTCATATGGGCAGATCACTGTCTAGGGGCTTCTTAAATAGCATTTCAACTATCTTAAAAACATCTTAAAAAGAATTTAATAATTCTTTAAGATCCTATACTTGCTTCTTTAGAAAAAGAAAAGTGAATAAATGTGAAATAATCTGTTAATATGCCATCATTATTTCATTAATTTTGAGTTGATGAAAATTGCCCCTAGCTAAGGGGTAAATTGTTTTATAATGAATGGAAATCAATTTTCCTTAGACACCACTAGAAACAAACAGCCAGATGCTTATTGTTTTGATAGCATGGTAGCACTCAGAGGCACATTTCATAGAGGCAGTGGTAGATACAGTACGTGTCATTAAGACATTATCCACTGCAGAAGTCAGAAGGGCCTAACGCTTGCAGTCTAGGCTAGAAAGGCCCTTGAGGAATTTATTTATTCAGTTTTTAAGAAATAGTAACAAATCTGTTGCTCTCTCCTTTCCAGCGGCCTTGGAATCAAAACTACTCAGTCCACGTTCAGTCATTTGTTTGGAAATAAAGCAGATGTTTGAATAACACCCTTCAAAATACCTAACAGATTTTGGCTAGTAAATCACTGTAGTCCTGCTAACCTTGACCTTTATATCCTTCCTGAAGAATTACAGCATTAATCAAGAAAGGACTGTTCAGTACATTCCACTGTAAGAGTCTTGTTGCTACAGCCTTAACCTGGAGGTGTTCAGTGGAAAATTATAAGGAATCCTGAGTGTTGGAAGGTATCCTATTCTCATGATGCATTTCCCTTCCCAAAGGCCAGGCAAGGGGCTTTGATTTTAAGTGCATTGACATACATACAAACATTGCTCCAGGCTAAAAAAGAAAATTCTCTAGAGATTTATGAGTTAAGCAGACATTCTGTCACTGGATTTGTTCATTTTGCCTGAATGTCGCCCCCACAACAAAAAAAACCTGCCCATGCATCTTTCTGAAAGACATTCAGCCTTTCAGCTCACTCATCCTATGAGTTATGTGGACTGACACGCTAGAAAAGCGTGATTTACAAGTGCTATTGCCTACCACCAAGTTCATATTCAAACACCCACCTTCCTCAGTACTTCCACAACAAGAAAATATTCTTCATCGTTAATTAGTGCTCATCAAACTATATGCCATGAAAATAACTCGTCTGTAATAATTGCTGAGAAAAATCTCTACAAACACTGGACTGTAAGTCCTTTTTGGAAGTTTGTTTCTTCCTAATGCACTTTGGTTTGACAATGCGCTATAGTGAATGAGAGAGTGTTACACTACCTAGCTGGAGTTCAGCCATTCTTAATGCCTCTATACAACCACAAAGATATACAAAGGGCATCTTAATATAAATGAAAACCAGGATCATTGACTTTAATAGGTCTGTTTGTGAAACATGGTACTTCATGAATGTAAAGGAAAATTTAAAAAATTCAGCTCCCTGGAAAAGAGGCCTAGACCAGAATACACTGCAACAATAAAATAGTTCCCTTTACTATAAGTGACCTTTGTTACAAGCTACTTAAGTAGAAGATACTATATCACCTAAAAATGTTTTGTTGAACGCTATTTTCTACTTCAGTAGTTGCACAATAGTGTATTACTGTCTCATTGTTTAAAGCCTTAGCTGTTCTGAATTATACCTACTACAGCACACTTGGTCTTTGATACAGACATATTTTCAATCTCTTTTTAGAATGACTGGATACATAATTTTTAGATTTTGACTACCGAGAGGAAAAGTCATGCTTTGACTTGACTTAGGAGTTCCACATTTCATTTGTTTTGCTAGACCTACTAGTAAGAAGCGACTTAGTGAGGAAATTGCAAAAAAACTGAGTAAAAACATAAACCAGTCTGCAAAGTCTGATGCTTTGCTGGGCTAAAAAAGAGGTAACCAGGCACATTTGTTAAATTCTTTTATATGCAACAGTGGAGATTTGAGGGGGAGAGCCTAAGGAGAAAAGTACTTGCCTAGCTCTACTGCAAGAGCGGCCACTGAGAAATGGAGGGACTATACAGAGCTTTAAAACAGATGCTGTAGTACAAAGACTTAATTTTAATTGCAACTGAAGCAAGTTTAAACATCTGTTGCTTGTTAGATTATTATTTTATTTATTTATTTATTTATACTTTTATTTTGGGGATGGATTGAAGGAAGCTCTTCTAGATTCCCTATGGCCATTAAGCTGGCATAGAGAACAGAAGTCTGACTGTTTCTGAAGTGTAAAGCTGCAAAAACTTTGGTTTTAGCAAGGAGGACTTTTTTTTTTTTTTTTTTAACCACTCAAAACGCCTTCTGACACTTCTGCTTTTGTACATCTTTATTGCAGTTTTTAGGATGGCAGCCAGAACAGCTTATAGCAGCAGGGAACAGGTTGTATCACTGCACTGCATCTTTTGTTCTCAGATTTTGAAATTTCTGAATCTGGGTATGCCAAGAAAAAAGAAAAAGAAAAGAAAAGAAAAGAAAGGAAAGGAAAGGAAAGGAAAGGAAAGGAAAGGAAAGGAAAGGAAAGGAAAGGAAAGGAAAGGAAAGGAAAGGAAAGGAAAGGAAAGGAAAGGAAAGAAAAGGAAAGGAAAGGAAAGGAAAGGAAAGGAAAGGAAAGGAAAGGAAAGGAAAGGAAAGGAAAGGAAAGGAAAGGAAAGGAAAGGAAAGGAAAGGAAAGGAAAGGAAAGGAAAGGAAAGGAAAGGAAAGGAAAGAAAAGAAAAGAA